ATACTTTTGTGTAAATGTGATTTTTAATAAAGACCCCATTTACTGTGTCAGTATTTTGGCTCTTTTGTACTTGTTATGACATTCAATAAAGACCCCATTTTTTGTGTCAATATTTTGGCTCTTTTGTGCTTGTTATGACATTCAATAAAGATCACATTTTTCACTTTCATTTGCCAGACATTTTGGATACATGATTATTTTAAAGGTCAAACTTTCTTTGCTAACATCAGAGACAATATGAAAGAGATTATATTTGATAAGGGGACACACTCTCTGTCAATAGGTAGACGTGATGTTTGATAAAGGTCGCGATTTTCCTGCCAAATAAAGCACCTTTCTCTGCCAATTAAAAGACATTTTAAATGTGCAAATACGATATTTATAACAGCTCATATATTTTTCTGTTAATAATAGCTTTTATGTAAATACGCATTGTTTTTTTTTCTTCCACAATAATTAGCGTTTATTTAAATAATATATCTTTTCTAGGTAATATTTTCAGTTAATAGCGTTTGTGTAAATATGATATTATCATAGGTCATATTTTTAGATAACAGTTAGCGTTAATGTTAAATTTATATTTATTATAGGTCATATTCTTTCTACCAGTAATTAGCGTTTAAGTAAATAAAATATTTGTTATAGGTCGTATTTTTTATCGGCCAGTAGGTATGAAAATATAAATTTATTATAGGTTATATTTTTTCTGTCAGTAGTTAGCGTTTAAGAAAATGGAATATTTGTTATAGGTCATATTTTTTTGGTCAGTAGTTATGAAAATATAAATTTATCATAATTATAGGTCATACCTTTTCTGTCAGTAATTAGCGTTTATGTCAATATAACATTTATTATAGGTCATATTTTTTTCTTGTCAGTAATTAACGTTTTTAAAGTCAATAGATACGATATTGAACGAAGGTCTCGATTTTTCCTGTCCTCCATGTTTCTCTCACCTGCGGCAAGATGGTCAGCCGGGATCTGACGTCATGAAGTCCGATGTCTGCGATGGTAACTCCGTCCACGATGATGGTACCAGCCGCCGACTCGATGAGGCGGAACATGGCCAGGGCCAGGGAAGATTTTCCCGCGCCGGTGCGGCCAACGATTCCAATCTAGGAGTTACAGGTTATACACATTTGGCCTTGGTAATGGTTTTATTTGGTGATGAGACCGGGGTTTGATTTTTCATTTTTTCATA